TTATCCCACTGTAAGTACTGTGAATACATCTGTTCAAGCCACCTACCAGATTTCTTATAATTCAAATTGTGAAACGCTGCCAACAGTTTAGGTCATAACGAACATATCATCAGCACAAAGACACCCATTTAAATGCCTGCCAAAAGCCTATCCCAGAATGCATCACCATACACATCTCCCAGAATGCATTATCATACACATCGTTCTTACTGGAGGATCCTCCCAGACCTAGTCAAGATAAACAAGAATCATCTCCAAAGTGGGTCTGGGATCCTCAATTTCTTTTTCCAATCATCTATTCTGAGTAGGAAGAGGATATATTCAAGATATATCCCTGAAATGTTATCTTGCTGAATTTTTTAAAAGTGGAATTACTTTTCCAGATAATCAGTTCCAAAAAGCTGACAATCAAGCAATAAGCAAAATAAAGCATCCCTTACTCCCATTTCTGCTAAAGACCTGGCATAGTAGTTTGTCCCTGATCCTGAGAGATTTATTTATGTCTAACCTGGAGGGTGGCTGACAAAGCCTGCAGAGCTGTGGTGCCCGGGGATGGGTCTATGGGGTTGGAAATCACAGAAGGCCAATGGTTCCAATGAGCTAAACAAGGAGGGGTTTAGGAGCCCTTTCTTGGGGACCTGAATCCAGTCCAGCCCAATTCAGGGTAAGAGGTACAAAAGACAGATTCACATGGGTGCCCCCACAGGATTCCCAGGGTAATGGTTTCAGAAAACTTCTCCAAGGAATCTTTGGCAAGATGGAAGGGAAATCTAGGTTCCCTATAGTGGCCCATGCTCCCCTTCCTATCTCCCCTACATGCACCCTCATTCCCATTTTCAATCTCCTGGCTCTGTGGCTATGTCATACTTGGAGAAGGAAGAATCAGAGAATCTAAACATTCCCCCTCCAGGGGTGGACAGGACAAGCCTCCCTGACCACTGAGTTTAAATGGAAGCATACTCCAAGTTAGTTGAATGTAAAGGAAAAAGAGAAGGGAAGCGGAGAAAGGCACAGACCAGAGTACAGTGCTTAAACTTAGGAGGATAATGTAATCCTAGACTGGTCACAGGCATGGAGATCCTCCACTCAGACCACTCCTTTCTTTTCTAGATCAAAGCTGCTATTGTCATTTAAATTCATACCTAAGGTTTTGTTTTTTTAATACTCCTTTCCCCAGAGGGTCTTTTATGGTGTAATTAAAAGAGGATAACAGCTAGATAATAAAGGGTAACCATAGCAACCAAAATCCTCAACCCCACCCAGCCCCCTGGCAGCACAAAGGGCCCTGAAGGTTGCTTACTTAAGCTCTCTCCTCCAGGGAGGTTAACAGAGACACTACCACTGGGAAACGCACTGTTCTTAAGAAGGGGTGGGGACATTTTCTCATAGGGCAGTAGTACTTCTGGTTCCCACTGAAAATTTTTCCTATACCAGATGTTTCCACTGTCATTAGAGCAGGACCCATAGGCACCAAAAGGTTTAACAGTGAAGAGCCCACGTGGAATGGGCTCCCCCCTTAAGTTAGTAATGCTCTGGGTGCCAGCAACCACAGGGGGCCTCTGGCTCGCCAAGGAGGGCCCACCCCACATCTCACTCTTGTCAGTCTCCGCGGCTCAGGGAGCAAGCAAACGTGTGTTTCCAATTTAATGTTTTGGCTGGTGCTCTTACCACCAACAGAGCATAGCGAGTGACTCAGATTGCCTTTCCAGAACTGCTCACCCCTTGTGCTGGGATGCCACCGTGAACCCAGCACACAAAGGAACACGTGCTCCCTCAAATGGGGAGAGGAGCTCTTTGTTGCCAAATGGAAATTAATCTCAGCAGAGACAGGGCATCTTAACGCTTCTTAGCAGCAAGAAGGGCGAGGGGAAACACTTCAGGGAATAGATCAAGTAAAGGTATACCAGCCTCCACAACCATTCATTGCTTTAGCGCTAGAATGAAATCCATTAATTTAAGTCAAGAAAGACTTGGCACGTTCTTTGCAAATATAAAAAATCTGAAATAAAAGGCATCAGAGTCCTCCTCTGATGGTTCCCTGGTGTGGCAGGGGGCACTGGGATCTCAAAGCCCATGATAACAGGAGCTTTCCATATTTCTAGAGTGCACCATGGGAGAGTGAGGGGAAGCACATGGTAGCATTATCTCCACCTCGCAGGTGCAACCTAGAAAGGTTACAAGGATACAGCTGAACCCTGATTGCATCTTCATCATCTAAGAAGCAGCCTAGCTAAGTCAGGGGCCCCAAGCAGCTCTCCAAGGCTCCCACAGGCTGCAATCTGTCAGCAGTGCCTGCAGTGTCCACCCAAAAGGAATCAGAGATCCTTGGATTACTGAGGCACAAATGAAAACCAAACATAAGCATTCTAGTCCAGGTGGGTTTCTAAAAAGCAGCATGGCTGCCACATGGATCTGGTCATTTTGTTAGAAATAGGCTTGACACCAAAAATTTAGGATCAAGAAAATTTATTACAAAGTCCAGAGGATTTAGACGTTTCTGGCCAGAAGTGGGCTCCACCCCTCTTGAGGAGGGGTGGGCACTGAGTGCAAGGGCAAGCGGGCTTTTATGCAGTTGAATTCAGCAGGAAACCTCCCAGGCCTGGATTGGTCTGTCCCTTCCCAGGTCATACCTTTCTTTACGTGTTTCCCTTGATATGCCCAAGTATGTTCCCCCTCCCTTGGTCATACGTCCCATGACTCATTAATTTTATGCGGGGTGTGTCAGACAATAGTAACGAAGTTCATTAAGCAGGCACGTAACATTTTTCAGGTGTCCTCAGGTTGACCCGAACTGGTCTGAGCTGGCTTGATTCTGGGGTCTTTCGGGAACCATCAGCTTACTTTTTATTGGCTCAGCCCGAGCTCACCTGCAGTGTACTACTTCCTGGAGCTGTCGTTCTTTAAGTCTATGCATTATTCTACCTGTGGAAACGTAAGCCCTTCTAACTCTAACAATTTGGAGATGTTCCCCGACGGCTAACCCTCAGACTCAACCCAGAGTGATGCAAGAGGAAAGGAAAAACCGCCTTCTTTGCCAGGAATCTCAGAGAGCTCCAGGAGACCAGAACAACAGGCCAGCACAAGCAGCAGGCGCTGAAGACTAAATGAAAGTCAGGGTACAGAAGTCTGCTCTGGGTGTCTTCAGAACAGAGAGATCCCAAAGCTCCCTTTTCCTTCTGTTCCCACAGAGCGAGGAGATTGGGGTACACACAGGGGGAAAAGGAAGGGGCATTCAAAGGGACACAAGTTTCCCCTCCATGTTTCTCCAAAGTTTCCTTGGAGAAGTTTTCTGAAACCATTACCCAGGGAGTCCTGTGGGGGCACCCATGTGGATCTGTCTTTTGTACTTCTGACCCTGAATTGGGTTGACTGGATTCAGGTCCCCAAGAAAGGGCTCCTAAACCCCTCCTTGTTTAGCTCGTTGGAACCATTGGACTTCTGTGATTTCCAACCCCACAGACCCATCCCTGGGCACCACAGCTCTGCAGGCTTTGTCAGCCACCCTCCAGGTTAGACATAAATAAATCTCTCAGGATCAGGGATAAGCAATCTGTCAAATTCACAGATTATGGGCAGGGATTTCTGAAGCAAAGGTAAATAGCACAAAATTTATGAATAAAGACTGAATTAAGAACCATTTCACTTGATTTTTTTTTCTGTAAATGGCATCTAGTGAATTACAGTTCTGTAAAAGTCTTGATACAAATTATTTCAGATCCTGTATTTGTTGACAGCTCTTTATAGGAAAATACAAGAAAATTATAGCTTTCAATTACTCTCAATATGGTATTCATTTCATTCACTAGCTCCTGGTGAGAGCCTGGATACCAGAGTACATGAGTGGGTTTGGTAAAAATTATTGGGCACATTTTCAGAAATTGCAGGCACAAAACCTCCATGATAATAGAGGCAAATGCTGCATTATAAAGCCACTGTGTAAATACTTCCTAAACAAACATGGGAAAATGTGCTTCTGTGTCCAATTGAGACTCAGTGAATGCCTCATAGATCACGCTCTTAGGTTTCTGTAGAAAATTCTGAAACAGTGCCATACCTGGTTGAAACCTTAAAGGGTTTTTAATCCTCTTAGCCTCTGAATGCCCCTGCCACCTCTCCACTGCTAGGCCGCCCAGAGGCCAGAAAGGCCTTTGGATCAAAGCAGGCAAGGAAAGAAAGGCTATATTGAGGTGGAAACTTCCAAATACTAGATGCAATAAGAGACTTACTCTAGCATGGAAGCTTCCATTTAAGTATCAGAAACTCCGGCACAGTGAGGGGATGTGCCTCATCAGGGACCTGCATTCCAAAAGACTCAAGAGCCCATTTCCGTGGCAAACAGCATCAGGCTGCGCGCTCTCTCTCATCCCAACACAAATGTCCCTGCTCACTGTAGCACACAAAGAGTGGAGTGGCGGCAGCTGGTGAACAGGGCCCTCCGCCCGTCTGGGAGGACTGCAGCGATGCAAGGGTCAGCTTCTTCATGAGACCAATGACACCAACACCCCAAAGGTCACTAAGCTCACCATACAGCACCGCACAGCTAGTGATCAGCAGAGCCGATTCTAGACCCCTCTTGTAAAAGGTTCATTTTCACTGTCTAGGCGGCTCTGCCTTCTGCTCAGTCCTGGCAAGCAAGTTGATAGAGCTTAATCTATTTCCATGAGCTGTCCCACTTTTCAGCTTTTTAAATGTTACTCTTAGCATGAGCCTTTGAAACCTTGGCCTCGACCAACAGCAAACAAGAAACCATGTGCAGCCAAATCAATAAAGGGCGTTTAAAGGTACACTGTGATACATTCATCCATCTGACTTTAATTTCCAATTTGTAAAGCCAGGAACCAAGGGCATTTCAGCCATTTATTATGCAACCTCTTAAAGTTTCAGTTTATACTTCATTAAACACAAGAGCCCAAACTGGGTCACACTGCAGTACAGTTTCCTGAGGGAGATAACCAAGAAACAACAGAATGGGAAAACAGCAGAAGCAGCAACTTCCATACCTCCATGCACAAAGCCGTGTAGAGTACAATCAGATGGTCCCACTAGATGTATCAAGGTGGACTGGCTGTAGCTGACAGTATATGGCTCTGGAATGAAAAAAGAAGATCGACATTAGTTCAAGGCTTCTCTGCTTCCATGGCTCTCTTCACCAAGTTACTTAAACCAAATGAATAGAAGCCTCCAACATCCTGACAATGCGGAGCTTGAACCTCTGGGTATCACTGAAGAGGGCAGGCTGCAGTTATTCCACATATTTCTGTGTGGAAAAGTACGGCCTCAAAACAGGTTCTGGGGTTTTTGAAGAATGGATGAGACGCCTGGTAGTGAAATACAGAAAACAGAGGGGGGAAATCGATGGGTAGTTAATGCTAAAACCAACGTGGGGCTTTTAACAATGCTCAGACCATGTAAGCATTAGGGCCTTGGCTTCCCTAGAATAATGGGCACGCACTGATAAGAGACAGGGTCACTCTCCTTGGCCCTGTCTTCCTGATTGGGCTGGTGTGGTCCATAGTTTCCACACAGTGTCTCCCTCTACCAGGTCATTTCTGTTCCTAACAGGCTGCTCCAGGATAGTTAACTCTCTAGAGCAGGGCAAATGCCTTGAGGCTTTAAGTGGTGCTAAGGAAATGACTGCAGGGGACAGACACCATTCAGATAAAACCAGTCTAGCCATCAGGAAGCTGATTCAAATGGAAATGAATCAATATCCTCTGAGTCCTCTGGTTGGGGATGTGGTCAGTATACATGTGGAGTTCACCACCACCATGGTCTGCAGAAGTAACTGTATGGCTAGCTGGCTGTGACAACTACCAACCACGCAACTTTTTAAAAACGTGGACTGAAACGTGTCTGTCTGGCAGTGGTTAGATGCAAGAAAGCCGGGCTGCAATTACGTTGAAATGAGGTCCTGTATCAGGAAGGTCATGTTCTGATTCATCTGGCAGATAACGGGATACCAAGTGATCTGGTGTAACCAGCAAGGCTGTGTTATGTGGCCCTCAGAGTAATTTCAAAACCGTAAAAAAGAGTCTTGCCAAACTCACAAAGCAGAATAAGTGCACTATGTGGACCATGGGGGAAAGGGGACTTTATTTGTTTATTCAAAAACTTCAGGGAATCACATTTCTTAGGATTCTTAGGATCTTAGTATTAAAATCTAAATGGAAGTTGAAAGCACTGCGAAGTGTGTGCTTGAACCTTCATGGAGAAGAAAGGAGAAGGCATCTGCTCTCCACACGCCCTGAGAATCTTGAGGCAATGCTACACCTTAACAGTCTGACTAGAGCTCCGGTCTGTGCTACAGTTCATAAATGAGTCTCATCACTTTAAAAGAACCATTTTGTTTTTCCCCATCAGCCACGGAAGTCTGAGAGTGGTCTGAGACATCGTTCTTACCACCTAACCTCGGCCCCATTGACTTTCCCTTGCTTTGGAGCTATCATTTACTTAGCATTTTCCTTATTTGCGTTTTGACCAGAATTTTAAGGGATCAGAGCACTCTGGGAGCAAGGCCTTGTAGGACAGTCTTCAGGCACCATCAACACATCCCATTGGGGCCCTTAGGTAAGTGTGGCGCTGCTGCTGCAGCGTGATGCCAAAGCTCAGGGAGACAGAAGCATTGCCTCTGAACAACCGAGCCCACGCTGTGGCCTTCAGAGCTCCCAGAATGCTAGCTACTGAGCTCCGATCCTCAGGGGTGTGGGATCAGGATCTCCTAGGTGGGAGTCATCAATAAGCAACAAAGGTTCTTCTCAGAGCCCACTGCCACAAAGACACCAAGTGAGAAGTCTACAGGAAACTTCTCCAACAGCCATCGAAGGCTCCCAGGAGCCCCTGGAGGCTTCTTTGCTATAGGTGTGACTGGCTTTAACCTCCTCGCCTCTCTCCTTGCTGTATTTCATGCTTCATCTTTACCACCTGACAACTCAAACATTCCTGTCCCCCCTCCCCCAAAACTCAGTCCCAGCACATTTAGCAGCAGCTGAAAGTCTGTACACCAGAGTGCCATGCTATCACCTGTCACCGAGGCCTAAAGAGGGCCAGTCACCTGGCCAGGGGACACTGGGGAAGGCATGAGCAAAGAAGGGCAGCCTCTCTCTTACACAGACAGACAGATAGACAGACACATAACATCCACAAAGCATTCCTGCACACCACAACGTTGACACCTCTCCAAGAGGACGCTTACCTTTAGTCTGCCTATCTGCGAAGCAGGCGGGTAGAAAACAGAAAAGGCATTGAAACCAACAACGCTACCATCTGCTTTGTGCTCTGTTCAAACAACCCTCCAAGAACGCTCACTTTGCAGTGCCACGTTTCCAAATCTACTGCTCTGGCTCATTCTAACAAGTGTTTGATCAACCAACAGAGCAACATCTTGACAAAAATAAAATCTTACGAACCTATTTCATTTGAAAAGGGATTTTAAAAAAAAACCATTCAGCTGAGGTTTTTAAACTCTTAAAGCCTTGTTTCATCAGGACCCATTTAATCAAAACGGAGGTCATCTGAAACGCTATTCCCTAGCCAATTATATGTCACCACTGTTCTTTGTAAAAGGGTTAATTAAGGTTTAAGCCAAACCCTGGCCATTTCAGTTTCTTCTCTATAGTTAATCAGGTGTTCTATTCAGAGACTCCCAATTTTTAAAGTGAAGAAATGTAAAGCCACTGACGAGGGGCTTTCCCAGAGGAGCAGAGATGACCCCCTTCCACAGCCACCAGTCACTTCACCTACCATATGAAAACTAGAAATGGGGTGGGGAGAAACATATTCAGTGTTTTCTGTTTCTGAAGGAAACAGAGAGAATTAAATTAAGTCCTATGGTGACAGAAGTAGAGCTGAAAGGGATCTCTATCATCTCCTTTACTTGACAGCTAAGAGAGGTTTCCAATTTGCCTAAGGTCACACAGGTGATAAGTGTCAGGGGCCAAATTTGAACCCAGGTCCTCTGTCCTCATTCCACTGCTGCCTGACTACATGACCGGGCCTTCTCCTGGGTGGTATCTACTCTTTAGAGTCCCCACTCCTAAAGAAGCACAAAGAATGTGAAACCAATCTGGGAGAAGGAGGATTAACACTGGATAATGAGGGGAAACAAGGAGCCAATAAATGGAGGCTAGAAACGCAAAGGCTAAATCAGAACACTTCCCCAGCGCATGAAAGGCAATTACACTGACGAAAAGCCAAGGCCAAAGAAGAGGGCTGGAATTAGATTAGGAAGGATTTCAGAAAGAACCACAGCCTTCCAGGGTAAGCCCTAACAATGGGGTAGGCAGGTTAATCTGAGTTTTCTCCTCCAAGCTAGTTAGAAAGTACACCAGGTACTAAGAGGACAAGCTTACTTAGTTCTGTGAGGTTCTGCCGGATTAAAGGGCCCCCTGAATTCTTCTCTCTAGCACACACTAGCTGGTAATGACTTCCTATGAGCAGCACAGTAGTGGCCAGGGCAAGTCTGAACTTTGGAGGTAACAATCAATGCGCTAACATTTTATCATCCACATTTTAACATAAAAAGTCGCCGCGATAAAAACCAATTCATTTTTCATCCTATTGCTCATGGAGAGAATAGACTTTCTGAACACCCAAATGCTCAAAACAAATATTTAATCAGATCATCACATGAGTTTAATATAGCTCACATTTGTAGCTGAGAAGTCTGAGATTTCCCCAAACTCTCAAGGTAATTGTATTTTTCCCCTTGTGACTGAGGTGGAATGGAGAAGAAATAAGGTCAACTGTTTCTGAAAGACCCCTCAGGCTGTAAAGAGGCCTCAAAGACTAGCTTGTCCCTTGTGATACGCTGCTAGGTAACTATTGTACAAACATCTGAAATCATCCTCTGTCCTCCAAGTTTGAAAGGACTTACAAACTCAGGAGGGATTTTAGGGACAGGGTAGAGAAGAAAGTGCATCAGAAAGATGAATAACTTTATAAAAATATATTAAATATTTTGTCATTTTGAACTAGTACTGCATTCTCTTAATGCACTTTCATATTCTAAGGGCAAAAGCCACGTTCCTAAATGTGACCGATAAAAAGTAAAAACCTGCTGTGTTCTAGGATATCTCTGTAGCATGGAGGCGATCCAGGCTTCTCTCCTGCTAAGCCCCATGGGCAATGTCAGCTCTAACAGGTCTTACCCACACTAGGCTGCAAAGGCTTGGAAGACAGATCTGGAGATGGACTGATTGGGGGTCAAAGGACAGTCTTCACTAACTTGGGAGATGCTTGGTACCAAGGGTCAGAGATTAAAGAATGCTTTCAGATTCTACAGTGGCTCTTAAAGACTTTATGTTAAGTTATAAACACATCACAATCTGTATCAATGGAGGAAGTATACACAGTGATGAAATTGTAGAGACTTTAAGCATAAAGATATCCTAGCACCCCATTCTGGACTGGCAGATCTTTGGTGCCCTACATATACATGCTCAATCAAATGTGCTGCATGAAACTGAAAGGCATTAAATGCTTTTCATATCTTTACCACCCCCAAAATAGAATCATTTCTATTAAGATTGTCAGATATCATCACTGGCCAGAAATTTTCAAAACTTTTACCTTAAAGATTCACTAAGAATTTAAACATAAATAAAGTCTTTTAAAGATTCTCACAGCACATATATTCTCCCTACTCTCCAACTCCCTCCCACCCAGGCCAAGCCATAGTTCCATATCAATAAAGACACATTCAACTCACCCAGCCTATGCCAAGAAACAAAGGTTTCTGGCTTATGCCAGTCAAATGGTGGCCCTTAAGGCTATGTCTCTAGAGACCCAATTACAGGTGAATATCACCCAGCTTGTCTACATGTCAGTACATGGCTCCTCTCCAACCTCATCCGTCTTGGGAAAGAAAATCAGAAACCCTTACAGTAAGTGGTAGCAAACAAAATATTCAAAAACAAGGGGAAAATGGGATTTCCTTAAGAAAAATATCTGAAAGTAAAAATGTGAAAGATGGATTCCTACTAGATCACAGAAAGTTAAGAATTATAACTGGAAATTCATCTAAATATCTCAAGAAACAAAACGCCACCTCTGAGTGACAAAGCACGACAGCAGAGATGGTTAAGAAATCTCACGCACATATTTTTGGACACGGTTGATGTGGGAATTTGTTTTGCTTAGCTATGCATATTTGCTACAAAGGTGTGGGTTTTTTTTAAATGGGGGAGGAGGGAGGGAGAGTAAATAAGTGCTTGTTAATTTTTTTACAAAGAAAAAAATCTGACGCACCCTATTTACAATCAGGCATCGCTGAGAAGTGCTAGAGTTTAGATTACTATAAATATTTTTCTTAGAGTATGGAAAAGTATAATAAAAATACGAAAGAATGCAAACAGATTGATAGTATGAGCAAATTTGGCTCCCTAGAATAATTAACATCAGGTCACAGCCAACCTCATGCTTCTCAAAGTGTGTACTACAGCATCATGGTTCATCATAGGACAAGGTCTACACTTTTGTTTCTGACAGGAATTAATAATCTACTTAGGAATGTTAAGGACTACACCTGTGACTTGACTGGCATAGAGAGCTCCCTGTGAGGAACCCCTTCTCCAGTGTAAATTGTGCCTCCTCTGAAACTCAGGCTTAGAGAATTGCCACTTGAGAGGACAAATGCCTTGCCCGTGATCTACACAGTAAGCAGAACAAGGGCTGAGACAAGCTCAGGCCTGTGAGCCTGCTCCTCTCCGTGGCCTACATCACTCTTTCTCTAATGAAAGGTGTACGTACCCAGATCTAATGGGGGAAAAAACCCCACCCAGGTCATACCTCACTGGCATGACCTATAGGCTGTTTTCTGCACTTGTAAAATGGTAGCAGGGCTTGGTGATGAGTGAGCAATGGTTTGTGTGCCAACAATATTAGCTTCAGATCAACAAATATGGAGAACTCCCATCTTCCCCCAAAATGAGGTAAAATGCAAAACAAGGAAAAGTCATGTCCGAGAAATCCATGCAACCAAAAATTTGGCCAAGGACATAGATGAATTTTAATTCTACTTAGCTAATCTTGTTCTAAAAAAAAATAGACTATTCCTCAAAAGCCAATGATTGTGTGAATAATCATTATCAGGAAGTCTCCCACTTAAAAGAAACTTGAAATACATATCCTTTCATAAAATGAAGAGGCCTTCTGTAATATGAATAACCATCCCTAGTTAATCTACTCTTTAGACCTGGATTTGGGTACACTTGGTTTGCTTTCCAAAGCCACGCCTGTACACAAAGAAAAGAAGGAAACACTAAGAAGAAATATGCTTAACAGGTGATGTGGGACCATTTATGGAACAGACAGGATTTCAAGAGGAAACACAAAAGTCCTGCTGCTGGTTCATTTGTTTGTAAATTTGGGGCTGGCCAAAACAGATGATGAGCAAAGAAAAACTGGGAAGGAGAGGCCATAAAGGGAAAAGAAGCCAAACTCTGACTTAGCAAACAGAAACTATGCAATAATTTTCTTACAGTTGGGTCCTCCCAAACTTTTTTCTTTCTAAGGTTTACGTCTCTTCTTTAACACTCAACGCTCAGGAAGCTGGCGCTCCGTCATCTAGCACAATCCGCCGTAACTCAACGTTGTGCCTCTGTAAGCGCCGGACAGCTGCTGACCAGCTCCTCCGTGGCCCTGGCAATCTCTCATTGACTCCTTCCTGTGACAGCTTGTTCAGTTAATGTTTTTTATTGAGATGCAGGGGGAGGGCAGAAGAGTGTAGACTCCAGGTCTCCACTGAACACTGTTAGAGGTTTAACAGGGTGCAGATGGCACGACCCCCAAGGAGGGCTCCTTTCTAGCCCATGGAGCAGACAGCTAGGCCCTTTTCTGTGAAGGCAGTGAAGCAATGCAAATGGCCTAACCCAAGACAATTAACTTAATAAATTACTATTTCTATAAATAACTAGATTAGTGGCATCTAAAGTAATTACTGCAACAAGCTGCTGGCTGTTACCTGGGTTAATAGAAGGCTGCATTATATCCCCGTTCTTCCACTTGGTTTCCATCCGTTCCAGCTTCTGAGCTTCATATCTCTTCCTGCCCTCCTCTTCTTGTTCCTTTCTGGTGTACTGGGGAAAAACCACAAGACACACGGGTCACATTCTGCAACTGCCTTCAGGGCCTATTCCTGGAAAAGGCCCCAAAGCCTCTCAGCTGTCCAGAGTCCTCAGTCAGCTTCACCAGGTGAACTTTCCACATGGGGAGGAAGGGGAAGGCGGCAGCTAAGGTGGCCTTTCTAATGCTAGCCTGATGGGTCACCCAGGAGTTTCTGAACCAAGAAGTTAAAAATCTACAGTGAATAACATTGTCTCATTAAAACTGAGGCCTGACAGTACAGTAGTTCAGCTATGGACACTCTGCTTCCTTTCTCTGAAAGACAGCACACCCACAGTCCTCTCTTTGTTTACCACACGCTCTCAAGCACATCTCTACTAATCTTTTTGTTGGCCACACTGAGAAGCCGTGTCCTCCTCTCTCCTTGGCATTCCAATTCCACCCTCTGGTAAGAAGCTCCTATCATCCCCAAGTCACAGGCACCTGACTACACTCACCATTCTGACCCCAAATCTTCTCTCTTGAGGCCTACAAGAGATTTCATTTTCTTTGCTTATTTTTTCCCCCTTTTAAATGTTTTAATTTCTGTCACAAATGAAGTTTCCAAAGTTGTTGCTCTTCCGAGTTTACAACATGCAGGCAAACACTTGAAAGCGGAAGAAACCATCAGCATTACAGGAAAATGGCAGTAGTTGTATCAAATGTCATTACAAAAAAGGCCGGCAGCAAAGGAAAGAGGGGAGGAAGATGCCCATCTCTGAAGTCTGTGAGTACACTTCCACGACTGCCCTAAGCGGGCTGCCTATTCTGTCATCTAGTCAAATGCTACATCAGTACAGAAGAGTAGGAGAGCCCATCTCTATTGTAGAATCTCAGGTCCAAGAGCAATTTGCCAGCCTTCATTTCCACATGCCCCCAAAAGCTTAAGATTTCCCCTCACCCAACTCTCTGTGCCTCAGAAACCTCCACTTCCTTTCCCACACTATTCTGCCTGTGTTGCAGCTGCACCTCATAACCCCTCCATAAACCAGGATTACTCTGGAGACTGAAATGCCTGCCCGAGTTCTACAGATCCAGCCTGCCCCCATCAGAGTTCCAGCAAGGGGAGAATGCATTCCAGGGGCCTTTTTAGACTTTGACTCAAAAGCCTGCAATCTCAATTTTCTGCTGATGGCGGGTTCCTATAAGGCCCTTTGTTTTTGGTTTTGTTTTTTGTCTTCACAGTGACTGAGCACCAATTTTGTGGTTAATTATCCATCCTCTTGGGTTTGAGAACACCCTCTAAAGAAGAGTGAGGCAGAAGCTGAGGGGCTCCAAAGGGGAAAAGCCAGAAGAGTGAGTGTTTTAAGTTACAATAGACAACTCAACTTTTTCCTCCATCAATCAAATAAACCAATTGTTTCAATAATGTTCCACAGGCAAAAGGTTGCTGCTGTGAAAGCAGAATCTGTTCCCTGTCCATCTAGGAAACTGATGACTAAACTGAAAGCTTCCCTAGAAATCATGTTTAGGAGAAGAAAAAAGCCAGCGTTCCTTAAGAAAGGGTGAGGAAAAAAATCTGTTTGATGAGCATCTTCAGAAACTTCTCCTTTCTACAGTAACACAAAAATAGCAGCTGCTATTCATCTCATGCTTTAAGGTTCACAAAATGCAGGCTCTATAATTACCTCCATTTTACAGGTACGGAAGCTGAGGCTCAGAGAGGGTCACAAAATGGCTAAGTACCAAAAGCAGGATTTGAAGCAAAGTCTTCCTGACTCCAAGTGAGTCCAGTCCTCTCTCCAGTGGGCCACACCACTTCTGGAAAGCTGCTTCACTGGAATCATCATACAAGATCACAGACTCTGAGGAAAGAACCATAGTAGGCCTCTAGGCCAATCCACACTAGAAATGAAGCCTTACTATACCAACCCTGACAAATGGGTCTCCCACTTGAAGACCAAAGAACAGGAGCCACCGCCTCCTAAAGCACACTATTCCACTTCGAGACGACTCTAATTATGAGAAAGGCTTTCCCAGCATCAACCCTAAATTTGTCTCTTTGTCATTTCCACCTCACTGCTCCTGGTTCTATCTCTGGGACCAAGAACACAACAGCCGGCACTGCCCAACACCGAGTCGACCTAACCTCAGGACCCTTCAGTCTTTTCCAGGCTAAACATGCCCAGTGCCTTTAACTGATTTTTATACCACAACATAGGGAATGTCCAGGGCATATAATGTACTCTAAGGGGTTTTGAAAATCATAGGTCAGGGGCAGCTAGGTGGCGCAATGGATAGAGCACTGGCCCTGAAGTCAGGAGGACCTGAGTTCAAATCCAGCCTCAGACCAAAACACTTGACACTTACTAGCTGTGTGACCCTGGGCAAGTCACTTAACCCCAATTGCCTAAAAATAAAAATTTAAAAATTAAAAAAAAAAAGAAAGAAAACCATAGGTCAAATCAAAAGAACAAATATTTTAACTATTAAGCTGCCAAGCCACATTAACTCTAGCAAGGGTCCAACTAAGTAGATTTGGGGTAGAAAATAGTTCAGTGAGTCCATCTGAAATGGTAATAACCCTCAAATTTATTTTCAGAACTTTTTTTTAAAAAAAACCAAAGTACACACATGTATAACCTATATCGAATTGCTTGCCTTCTGGGGGGGGGGAGGAAGTGGGGAGGGAGGGATGAAGGGAGATAATTTAGAACTCAAAATTTTAAAAAACGAATATTAAAAATTGTTTTTACATGTAACTGGGGAAAAATAAAATGCTAAATAAATACATGTTTAAAAAAAATTTTTAAAAGTACTTCTACTCTGAATGATGAAATATGAAATCTTCTGTTTCACATTCAAAGGCCTTCATAACTGGAATTCCCCTACCTTTCCATTCTTCCTATACCTTACACCCCACCCTCATACTCTGCAACCCAGTAACACTGGCCTCCCTGCTTTGGCTCCTAAAGAGAGTTCATCTCCCAGCTGCAGGCATTTTTCCCTGGTTGTCCCTCTTGCCTGGAATGTCCTCCCCCTCCTCATCTCTGCCTCCTAGATTCCTTGACCTCCTCCAACTCCCAGCTAACATCCCACCTTCCACGGGAAGCCCTTGCCAATCCCCCTTGAGTCTAGTCTTTCCTTCTGCTAATTATTTCCAATTTATCCTGTATATCGTTTAGTTGTACACAAGCTGCTTCTGTGTTGTCTCCCCCATTAGACTGTGAGCTCCCTGAGGGCAGGGATTATTATTATTCTTAAAGGTAGCCTGTCTTAGTATCCCCAGCACTTAACACAGTGCCTGGTAAACAATGAGTTTTTAATAAATGTTTGTTGTGGTCCTTCTTCATTTTCAAAGAGGACAGATGACATCACAAGGTGGCGTTCTGACTTATGCATGAATTGGATTTAAGTGAGGCAGTTGCCCAAAGTGTCAGCCTCACTCTCTCTTCCAGAGTCATCAAAGTCCAGCAGCAGGCCAAATGTCAGGACAACCAGCGACGGCCCTGGACGCAGGAGGTGATCTTGGCATCTTTGATGCCTGACCAAGCTCTCCGCACTCCACACCACCTTCTTCAGCCACCTTCATAACTGCTGGAACAAGCTTTTTCATCTGCCCGTCCCAGGGCAAGTCTTGCCGTGTTTGGAGTTGACATCCCCCTAACTCGCTGACAGGCTTCAGGCCTGTCAGCCTCCACTTGGTTTGGCCCAGTTTACTGGGGCGTGGCTGCTGTGTATGCTACACAGCTTCTTGGATCCACAGGTAAGACGGGGTGAAGGTGAACATCAAAGGTGGATGAGCAGCCCATACACCAGAGGTGCTAGTCCTCCTGAAGCACCCCACACACCCCACAGTGGGCATCTGATAAATGTTCATTGACAGCCTCATCCAACCACTCTCCCTATGATTTACATTACCTCCTCCCAGACAACTACAGCAACATCCCCTTAAGTGGGGACGTTCCTTAGCCAAGTGGGAAAGGAAAATTCCCAAAGCATCTGAGGAGTAGTGCAGCTGCAGGGAAGCCAGCATTGGATTTGGGAACAGAAAACCTGGATTGCTATCACTTCCTAGTGCAGACAGTGACTCGTTCTCCTTAGGTTGTAAAATGAGGGTGTTGATCTTCAGAACACGGGCCTAATTTCAGGTACTTGCCCATGTTCCAAATGCACCTGTAGGTTCTACCCAAGACTTCGCAGGTGTGGGGGAGTTCAATAAATAGTAACAAAAGAATACGTTTCCAGATTTAAGGCTTCTTTCCCATCTGCAGCTTTCCCCACTTACAATCAGAGGGATGGTTTAAAATACACTTCTCTAAAAAGGGCAAAGTTGATATTTTTGTCTTATCAAGCTCCACTAAACAATACGAGTAAAAAAGCTCCTGTTTGCTCCTCTGTGCAGTAGGAGGAAGAATGCTAATTACCAGAAGAAGGGAGGTAGGGGGTGGAAGGAAGCATGGCCTGCCACATGCCCCAAGAGTGCTGGCTGTGTGCCACCTTGAGCAGAAAATGGGCCCAATCCAAGGGCCCACTCACATCCCCACCTCTCCATTTCCCCATTCTCCCTGATGTTGTGAAAGCAGTTCTGAGGAACTCCTCAAAAGGTGAGTACATTCTGCCCAAGCAGCTCCTTTAGGGGATGCCCCATCTGTAAGGCAGGACATCCATGTGGAATTGAATCCCACCTCTGCCACTGGTGACTAACTGAGGGACCTTGGGGTAAGGTATTCGACAGCTCTGTGCCTCAGACTCCTCAGAATGTAAAATGCAGGGGCTAGACTAGCTCTTGTGAAGGTCCCTTTCAGCTTTAAATATGAAGTCATGAAGGCTGAGCTAGAGGATAGGATTTCTATATTTTTAAGTCTTTAAAAAACGATTAGCAGTTAAATAAGTGCACATATCATTTAGTATTTATAATAACAGCATCTACAATTTTTATTCCAGATATGAATTATGATAATCTATAATAACCAGCTCTCATATAGAACTTTAAGGTCTAGAAAGCATCTACACATGTTAGGTCATTTGTTCCTCTAAACAACCCTGGGAGGCAGGTACTATTATTGTCTGAAGCAAATGGAGGTAAAGTGACTTGCCCAGGCATGGCTGTATAACTGATTTACTATAACGGGCAGAAAAGAAACCAGGAAAAAGCATTCAAGTTGCTTCCCACTGATCCTGGTGGATCAATTATGGACTCCCATCATCTCTTCCAAGTGTCTGAAGCAGGCCCAGCAGAGGCACTGATCCAGGTGAGGGTCTGGGATAGCGCATGAGCGAAGGCCGGCAGCATCAAAGAATGCCACACCCCCCTGTGACTGCTGGAGGCCCAGCTTGCCACCAGTTAAAGTTCCTGATACAGGGGCTTAAAAGTGCCCCCAACTGACATGCTGCTCAGTTAAATGAATGCCCCGCAGTCAGTCGGGGCTCAGGGAACTCAACTGTTGTGTCTTGTAAGAGAGAAAGATATCAAACAGCATCTTACCACCAAAGGCGGGACCTCAAGTACTTTGTCCACATTCTTCAGGGACAGGGGCACATACCAGAGCGCTGCCTTATTGGTCACTCTTCTAGCACCTTAGGAAAAGGAAGACAGGTTAGTGAGGCTCTGTGGAGAGGGACATAAGGATCAGGCACTTAATTCTGGGAACGAAGAAGAGAAGGGAATGAGCATTTATTAAGCACTTACTATGTACTAGGCCCTATGCTAAACACTTTACAAATATGATCTCAAGTGACTTCCACAACCACCCCGGGAGGTACGTACTACTATCACCCCCCCTTTTAAAGTTGAGGAAATTGAGGCAAACAGAGGTTAAATGACTTGCCTAGGGTCACATGGCTAAGAAGTGTCTACTTGGGACATCCTGACTCCAGGTCCAACGCTCTATTTACTGCACTACTTGGCTGCCTCCAAAGGATGGTACATTGAGTAGAAAAGGAGCAGGTGTGTACATATATGCACGTGTGTATATGCATATATTCAGAAATGTATGTTAAAAACAAAACACATCCATGAAAAATAAGATAATGTAAAAAGTCTGGTAGCTCCAGAGCTCAAGTTTATTAACTTTCTCACAGGAGAAAGACGTGGCTGGTGTGCTGTCCGGCTACCCATTCATTTCTGGGCAGTTCTTGGGACAAGCGGAAGGCACTGCTCTCAGCTGCTGTTTTTGCAGGAATGCAGTTCAATTATGAAAACATTTCCAAAGTCTCTGCTGAGAATTTCCCAACAAAGTTGCAGCTCAGTGCATTTGTGCTTAGTGGGAAGCAGCAGAGAAGGGTCTCTGGAAGCTGTACCCTCTCAGCATTTCTTAAACTGGGGGCTGTGACCCTATATGGGGTCGCGAAAATTTGGCAACAGTAAAAGGTTTCTTCTGAGCACGCAACAGCCAAAATATCAGCATCAAATATCCTGCCAAGATTGAATTCTTTACATAAAAATAAAGAAGCACATCCATCTCATTTGTATGCAAATTTGCTTTCCTATTTAATAAATGGTAAAATTAAGTATATACCAAAGAGTTGTTTTAAAGTAAATTTCTTTATGATTTATTATCAGCAAATGTTTGATTTGTATACCTATATACCCAGGGTTACATAAAAATTTCTTGGGCAAAAAAGGGTTACAAGTGGAAAAAGTTTAAAAAGCCCTGTTCGGGAAGGCATTCTCAGGGACGAGCTTGTGGAAAAGAGTGGAGACAAAGCAAGAGGCAGTCTGTGGCTGAGTTCATCTTCCGAGGGCATTACTGGACTAGACTCATGTCTCCACAAACAGATTACAGCTGACATTTCATTTCTTACTCAAGATACCGTACTGAAGAATTTTATATAACGAGGTTGAAACAGGGGATGACTTTTGACAGATTTCTTCTCCCTCTCTTCCCCCCGCTTTCCCTAGTCTAAACACTGCCAAAAGGGAAACCATCAATCACCTATCAGACCCAAAGATAGAAGAGACAGATTCACATATTACACATACTATTAAATAAACAGACGTGTGTAAAATAGAGGCAGTGCTGCCTAGTGGTTAAAGGGTGGCTGGGCTCAGAGTTGGGAAGACCTGGGTTCACAAGTTCTGCCTCTGACATAGGCTAGCCACATGTATGACTCTGGCCAGGGAAGCCTCTCAGACTACTGAGAATGTACCTGGTAGCTGGCACTCACTCAACTCAAATCCAATTGTGTTATCTGCTGTCACCTTTTTGGCATTACAGGCAACACGTGAAAAATATCTGAAGCACACCGTGACTGAGGATGGGTATTTGAAGTTGTAAAGAAGATGTCAATCTGCATTAGGGAAGGAAGTTGCTCACTGGGAGGCCCAACACTGACGACATCACAGATCCCATCCTCCCCTCCCCACCCCAAACACTTGTAAATAGACAGAGGAGTAAGCCAGGTGGTTAAGTTCTGATGAATGGCTAATGCAGCTGTGTGAGCAGCCTCTGCACAAAGACAGACAGACAGACATGCCTGCTTGAGAGCTGGAAAAGCTGGCTTAGGATGCGCAGACTGGCCTCTTCCCCTGGCCAGGACAGAGTCTGAGGAATATTACCATTTTACAAAGCATGAAAAAAATCACTGGTGCACTAAACCAATCACACACAAACTTATGGCTATGTAGAACCAGTATCATCCAAGTTCCATGCCCTCCACCCCAGGAACTTCCTCAAAGTAGGAAACATCATGCTGAAAACTTGGCTTTGCAGGCGGGTTCCTGCAGACTTCTTGGAGAGAGGGGAAGAGGGCAGCTAACTGTGCCTTTGAGTGATGTGGCACCATGTGCAAAACTCCCCCAGGGTACGACGTGCCAAGGGGGAGGGGACATCTGGTACTGAGGCAGAGATGTCTGTCTCTGTCTGACTTCAGAATATCTCTGCAGGCAGCCACGTGCCCACTAGCCCAGGGAGAATCAGATCAAGTGCATCTACTCAGGATAGCCTAGGACGGAAGAAGCTGAGGGGGCTGGCCATCTGGGAGAAATGTTTGCAAGGCTGCTCTAGGTAGCTGCTTACTGGAAATGGACAGGTCCAGCGTGCAGCAGAACAGGAAAGGTGTCCATGATAAACGAGGATATGGCCCAGAATCCCGGGACTCTCCCTAGGCCTCCAGAACCACCTGGAGCCTGTTCCCCCAAGCTGATCACAGGCCTTTTCACTTCCATTTCCTGTCTAAACACAGCCCCAGGCATCAAGCTGAGCCTCAGCTGCACAATTAAGAAGAGGCCCACAAGGAAAGCAGGCAGCCAGAGCTCCCCTGGGATGAGCAGCACATCAGCCACTCGACTTGAACCCAACTGTGCGATTTTGAAAAAGTGCCCTCACTGCTCGAGAACCACTGCATAGGTGAACAAAAAGGAAAACTATTTCCACTGCATTTTGATTTGGGAGTGAATCTGACAACCTGCTCTGGGGAATAAAGCTTTGCTATTCGACTCAGCTAACACTTTCCTGACAAGCCCGTTCCCGTAGTAACTGGGAATTGACCTCTTCTAGGCCGAAGTGAGTCACATGCACTAAACGACGAAAAGTACAGTTGCTCCAGACTCAGAAAGGATTCTTTTAAAAATCTTACAGGTATCATAGCTATTGTTTTTTGATCACTTCCACATTAGCTTCATATTCTGACACTCTTAACAAACAAAGGAACATTCTTAACAGTCAAGATTTCCTTAGCTGCCTCAGGGTGACTATGCCCAGTGGTTTTGTCATGCAGAATCCCGACTGGAAGGAAAGGATGGCTTATGACTCCCCTAACAGGAGGCATGTGGGGCAAGGGCCTTCCCTTTACATTATTTTCATAAACTTTATACAAAGAACATGTACCTTCATTGGAAAAAGAAAGGAAACCATTTCAAAGAAAGTATGCAAAAACATTTGTACAGTTTCTGTAACTGAACCAGAGCTTTAATTTTTTTAAAAGTCATTCCAGTCAAATGAAAATTAGTTAATAAGAATATTACAAGTACCTACTCCATCTGGACCCAGCCCCGTGGTACATACTATGGAAGAAATACGACAGCGTAAGATGCCAGCGAGATTGAAAGGAAAGTGACTTAGCAAAAATTGCTACAGACACTAATTTCTAAGATGATGCCTGGAGTAATGTGACCCCTCTCCTCCTGTGCTAAGTCGACAGAGATACTGTTTGGGAAGTACTGTGTTATTTACCTTGCATTTTGTTTTAATTAAATGTTTTTTGCTCTGATTTTATGAACCATCTGGTATGTTCATGCAAAGAGTCATTAGCGGGGGGCTCAGGGATATGAATGTGAATAGATGCTGACTCAAAACAGAACTGGGAAGTAGCCGGGGGTCCCAGAGTCACATGGGGAATATAGGCACATAAAGGATAATGTTTCACTGCTTTGTTTAAAAATTATAGCAATGTACATGTAAAGATGCTACATCTTCAAAAAAAAAATCACTGCTTCAAATTTTTTAAAAGACTAAGAGACAGTATCTGCCCTCAAAGAATTCATTTTTAAACTTAAGTTAACATGATGTCTACACAAGAAAACAATACAAGACAATTTATAATCACATAGCAAACAGTATGGCTTAGGCAATAAATGGTAGCAAAGTTCAACAGCCCCACTCCCCCCAGAATAGCAGACAATGCTCTGTAGGAAGCCAAGGTGTGCTGGGCCCTCTGGGCCTTGAAGGACACAAAGGAAAGAGTCATTACCTTCTTAACTATTTTTACTACCAATCATTAGCAGAGGTAAGTAGAAAGGAGAAAGAGGGCAAGAGCTAGAATCAGAAGATTTGAAACTGAGCTGTCCCTCACTCCCTCTGTGACCCTGGACAAGTGACTTCACCTCCCTGGGCCTTCATTCCTCACCTGCAAAGTAGGGAGTGAAGCTAGATGATGTCCACAGCCCCTCTGGGATCAAGATCACAACCACCACTGCCAAGCTTTCTACAGAAGAAAAAATGCTTTCTACACAGCCTCTTGGTTGAGCCCTACGTCTGAGATCCTCTGAGATCACTATTGTTTTTACCCACTTTAAAGATGAAGAAATGGAAACTTAGAGAGGTTATCCATGGTCACTCAGCTGGTAAATGTAAGAGCTGAGAGCGGCTCCAAGTCCAGGGCATGTGGACTACATGCGTATCACAACACTAAGTGATGGGTATGCAATGTAGGCATGAGATATGATCTGCATATCAAAGAAGATAAAACTAACAAGTTTAATTATATAAAAGTTGATAAGTTTTTGCACAAAGTCAATGCAATTAAAATTAGAAGGGAAATATTTTACTGGGAAAAAATCGGCACAGTAAAGTTTTTATGATAAAAGTCCTGTATCCAAGATATATAATGAACTGATTCAAACAGATAACATAAGAGCCATTCCCTAATAAATAAATGACCAAAGAATATGAACAAGAAGTTTATACAGGAAGAAATCCAAGCTATCCACAGATGGGAAAAAATTCTCCAAATCACTAATATTTTTTAAAATGTGCAAATAATGCAACTCTGAGGTTCCACTTCACTACCATCCAATTGGCAAAGATGATGGAAAAGGAAAATGACAACTTCTGGAGAGTCTGTAGGAAAACTGACAT